TGTTTAACACCATTGCCTTGGCTTCCATAAAAAGCGGGGGGGGAAAAAACCCGGGTTTTTTTTGGGCCCGGGTTTTCAACCCCCCAGGGGGGAGGCGCCGTGACTTTTTCGGGGGGGGGGGGGGGGGGGGGGCGGGGGGGTATTCCACTACCATGCATATGCCGCCGATCGCATCATATTTTTTCCTTCTGACGTACGTTGGTTACCCATGGTATGTGTATGCTCGGTTGCAATGGGCTAGACTCATTTGAGACAAACGACGACGGCAATGGCGGCAACGATGACGACAACAACACCACCAATCCACCCAAAAAAGATAACACCAAACAACAACAACAACAACAACAACAACAGCAACAGCAACAACAGCAATAGCAACAGCAACAACAACAGCAACAACAACAGCAACAACAGCAACACCAAACACCACCACCACCACCACCACCAACAACAACAATAACAACAACAACAACAACAACAACAATAACAACAACAACACCACCACCAACAACAACCTACCCTGGTCTGTCGCTTATGTACACCGGCCCGCCGCTGACCGCTCGTGAAGCCGCGTGCATCCAGCTCGCGTCTCCGATGTTCGTCTGGAACATATCCCAGTCCTGGCGAAAAACACAAACACCACCAGGGTTTGGTACGGTTCTAGGAAATCAAAATCGAGCTCTGCTGGAAACCCATATTTTTTCTTCTGTCTTCCACCATTCAAAAACCTCGGTTGTGATTTAGAGTGTTCGAACCGCGTTGATACTGGGCCTGATGTCTTCGGTTAGGCTGCTGTCTGCAGCTTAAGCACGATTGATGATATGCCAACGATAAGTCACGCAGTAGGGAAAAGAGGGAGAGGGAGCTCGTTCGAGACTTAACTGTATCTTGGGGGCCAGACAAACATGTACAGGGAAAGCTCACCAACGCAGCGTGCGAAACAACGTCATTTTTAACAACGAAACAGAGCCAAATAGCACAGACACCGCACCAACGTGCTTATGGGATACAGTGGCATGGCTGGGGAAACGTGACGAGAGATTTTTATCCGTCCGGTTTGCACAGGCCAAAGCGAACAACAAGTAAGAGATCGAACATCGCACGTCACGAAGCATGGGTCACACCGGCACCACTTTTTTTGATGGCCCAGATTCTCGCGAACGGTGCTCGGATAAGTCTCATCACCTCAAACCACCACCACCATGCATCATGTTTCGAAACGCGCGCAGGGTACGGCCCGGCGACAAAGACAACGACGTCACCCCACCGTCGTCGGCAAAAAAAAAAAAAAAAAATGACCGCAGCGCCGAAACAAGGCAACAGAAAACAATGACAACCACGACGACAAGACAAGCAACGCACACAGAGCTCGACCACCTCAACAGCAACATTAACAAAAGCCCAACAACCAATCGACAACCACCAAAAGACACTATACAATACTTCTAGCACCACCGAAAACCGTAACGGAAGCAGCACCTGCAGGCCACAGCTGCTGATCATGAGGCTGTTAAACGCGTTGGCGTAGATGTGCGGGCTGTGGCTCCCCTTGTCTCTCGGGTAGAAGTCATCCGAACCGCGGATGACGGGTTGTCGCCCATAGCAAGCCGGGAGCTGCAGCCACGATGAGGGAGGGGGAAGGGGATGGCAGACAGCAGACAGGGGCGGGGGGGGGTCATGTTTTGCATGTCTTAGTTGCTAGACCATTGAGCATGCGTCCTCGAGAAAACGGGGCATTTTTCCAACTGGACCGATCGCCGATGCGTCTCTTCCTACGTTGCCGAAGGTGGCTCAGAATGATAGACAGGGAGGGGCGTGAACGTGCAAAGGTTTTCCGATCGTGTGTAAATTTGGAATTATGGATGATTGATTCTTCGAATGGTGTAACTGCCTCATTTTCGGGGAGTTGGCCTGTGACCAGCGAATCGGTCCCCGTCAGTTGGACCGGTCAACAAATGTTTTGAAAGGTACATGTACCTATTATAGCGGAGGCCGGGATCAGTTCTTGATGTGGAGGCACCACAACAACAACCAGTAGCACCACAACAACAACCAGTAGCACCACAACAACAACCAGTAGCACCACAACAACAACCAGTCGCACCACAACAACAACCAGTAGCACCACAACAACAACCAGTAGCACCACAACAACAACCAGTCGCACCACAACAACAACCAGCACCACCACAACAACAACCAGCACCACCACAACAACAACCAGTCGCACCACAACAACAACCAGTCGCACCACAACAACAACCAGTAGCACCAGCACCCGGTTCAACAGGCGTTTTCAAAAGGTGCTTCGAAGTACCTAGCAGAGACCAGTTTGCTACGTGGAGACAACCACCACCACCGCCACAACAGCAACATCAACAAGAACGAAATAGCACCAGCAACCGATCAACAGATGTTTTGAAAGGTACATAGCAGACCGCGACATTTTTTTTGTGAAGACAACAACAACGACAACAACAACGACAACGACAACGACAACAACTTGCACCAGCACCACTAGCCTAACCGACGAACCTGCAAGAGAATCTCGCTGTCGTGGCACATGCAGTGGATGATGCGGCCGCCCTCCCCCTTCTCCCCGTCGCTGTCGGAAAAGTACTTCCTCACGCTCTTGCTCAGGGCGGTGTGGAACGCCCTCGCGAGCATCACGCTGCCCCCGTTCCCCCGACCTAAAAAGTTTACCTGTTGACCGCAGGGATGGAGAAGAGATAAGGGACAGCAACAATTAGGGCGGAAACGAAAAAAAAGGCGCCATGTGGACTGCTGTAGTGAAAAGTGTGTTGTGTCCGATAAAGGTGTAAAACTCAAAGACACCCGCCCTTCACCGCTTTTTCGTTTGATTTTCCCATTATTTCATTTTGTTGCTTCGATCCCAATCTCTACCCGCGAAACGGCCTTGCTCTTCAACAGCCATCTTCAACCATGAAACGTGCCCAAACCAATGTTACCCACAAAAAAAAAAACACGATATTCCTGTGTGCTACTCGGAAAAACCGCATCTGTCGATTTTTCCGCCACCACGGCGGTTCATGTCCGTGTAATCAGTTCTCAACGTACCATTGAACTGGTTTCCGCAGTCAGTTTTCGTCAACCCACCACTGACAGTTCTCTCTCAACTTACCACTCTGGTTGCTGGAATCAACTTAAACCAGTTTGTTCCTCTCAACCCACCACTGACTGTACCGTTTTCCGTTGCACGGTACAGTGGGGGGTCCCTGTTTAGTGCCGGTTGAATAGTGCCGGTGCCCGATATAGTGCCGGTATAGTGTTTTCGGCGGGCACACACTTGATGTTCCAAGTCATAATTCAGTACTTTGAACAGTGCCGGTCCGGTATAGTACATACCGGTGAATTTTCTGGGCACATACCGCCACTACGCAGGGACCCCCACTGTAATCAGCTCCCCTCGACTCACCACCGACTGCGCGTCGACCTTAACTCCGTGCACTCCCTGGGACCTGAGGTAGCGGTGGTAGTCGTCGTAGAAGGACCGGATCTTCTCGGGGGGCACGACCCCGAAACGCTTGTTCAGGAACTTGGACACGCGGAAGAACATCTTCATGTCCGGGTCCACCTCCACGATACCTTTTTTCGTCCGCGGGGAGAGAAAAAACACGCGTACCAGCAATCATGTCAGCAAATCAAATAGAAGTACCGTTTTTCGTAGACGGGAAGAAGACACACAGACACACCAGCAGCATAAGCAATATAGGCTATAGCTTTTTTCGTCAACGGGAAGAGGAAACACACACACCAGCAATACAAGCAATCAAACACGAGGTATGTCTTTTTTCGTTAACGGGAAGAGAAACACACGCACACCAGCAATCACGTAAGCAATCAAAACCTACACTTTTATTCGTTACGGGAAGAAGACACACAAACACACCGGAAGCATAAGCAATACTTATACCGTTTGTCGTCCACGGGAAGAAGAAACACAAACACACCAGCGGCATAAGCCATAGACTATGCCTTTTGTCGTCCACAGGAAGAAGAATCATACATACCAGCAAACATAAATGCAAAGAAACCGTGCACGACTCGACTTGTGATTGGTCAAAACAGCGCGCGCAGCGTGCGGACCACGTTCTGACGTGCGGACCACGAACGTGGCGCAGCCGCGTTCGTGGCCAGTCTCGCCACCACGGCCCCGGTTGGACGTCCGTGAGGGTTAGGGTTAGGGTTAGGGTTAGGGTTGGGTTGGGTGGGTTGGGTTGGGTTGGGTTGGGTTGGGTTGGGTTGGGTCGGTCACGTGTGTGTATAACCCAGTTTCAACCCATCCACGGAGGCGTTTCGAAGCGTGCACGTCTTATTTGAACGCGCGTCGTGCAAATAGGGGTAGCCAAAGAAACATACTCCGAGTACCTTTCTTCGTCAACGGGAAGAAGAAACACACATAAAATACGCCATACCTTTTTCGTCCACGGGAAGAAGAAACACTTACATGGTCCCAACTTTGATAGGGTACAGCACTTACTCATGTTTGCCACCGGGATTATCACACCGCTCAGAGTTGAAAACACTGACGCTCTACCCGCCCCGAGCAATATCTAGCGTGTAGACCCCCCGCCACGCAGCAACACCTCTGTATCTCTGTATCTCTGTATCTGTAGCGTAGCTACCCTCACCGGGTGGGGGGTTAGGCGTACATTCTACCCCCCCCCTCCCCTCGAGCGACATCTAGTGTGCAGACCCCCCGTAACGCAGCAACACCTATAGAAGCATCTTTGAGGTGTAGCTATCCTCACCAGGTGGTCGGTTCAGCAAAGCCCGGCGCGGCTTGTACTTAACCAAGTCCGGGGAGTCGAGGTCTACTCCCGCCCAGTACCCGGCGATGGCGTGCCAAACCAAAAAGTAGTCGATGCCGAACTCCTCTTGGGCCTGTCGACAACGGGGGGGGGGGGGGGAGTCGCCGCATTTTCAGCGTGAATATGCACCGTAGCTTCCTCAACACAGTGGGGCCAGAATAAAAAAAAAATATATACATATATATACGGTAAACACTTGTGTACTGGAGAGGGGCCGAGAGGGGACGGGCGGAACAACCAAAAGGAGAAACTGCGTAGCAAAAAACATGGTGTTATCAAAAAGATCACAATAAATAATGTAGAAGGGCTGGTGAACTTTGTTTCTTTTGGGCTTTTCTCCAGGCGGGGCTTTCCAAAATACCAAGAAGGGCGAAAGTGTGTTCGCTTCGTTAGTCTGGCCCACCCAGCGCTAAAGCGAACACAAACAGGGCCTACCTTTAGCTATTGTACCACCTACGCATTGGAAGAACGCCGATAAAGGAGAGAAAACAACAGAAAGATTTCGTCGAAACTACACAACGTCAAAACGAAACATCAGGTACACACGTACACACGCCAAATGGAACATGTTCCGTGGTTTTACCCTTTTCACGGTACGGGACAGGTCCGTCCCTTCCTTCTCGTCCCGGAATTTCCCGTTTGCCTTGATCGACGTCAGGTGGTCCATCCATTGCTCCCCTGAACACGAGAACGAAAGTAATGAAAAAACAAATCAAGGGCAAACGATCAGAGGCAGTCAAAACAGAACACAATTGAGGAAAAGGACACAGCAGTTCCAGCAGGAAGAGGCCGAAACTCACGGCATCAACGAATGCATGAACAAAAAACAAACAAAAACGAAAAAGATGCCGCGAAGGAACGACACAACATACCTGGTAGACGATGAGGCATATTGGCTAGCAGTGCAAGGGGTGCGGGTGATTCGCTGACGACATCAAACATCAAACCAAGATCGCTAAGGGGTCGACTCACAACAACAATCGTTCGTTGATAGCGACGGCTCCGAATCGGGGGCTCCGCAGTTGGAGAGGCCAGGCCGTATGGTGGGTACATTACACGAAGAGACTGCGAAAGCAACGGCTAGAAAAAGACGGCGAAAAACGAACAACTCCCTTTCTGTGGTTCACTACCTGTATGATCAATGGGGAAGCCATACTTGTAGGCCATACAAGTTCCGGCACTTTTCTTAAGCCACACACGTAGACAGCCTTAACCACCACCACCACTACCATCACCAGAACGCGAACGTACCGTTGGGGGCGTCACTGTTGGAGGTGGACTGCCAGCCGTCATCGAGCACGAGCCACTTGGGGCAGATGCCCGCCTCGCGTAGAGATGTGAGCCCCTTGAATACCTTGTCGTGGTCCACGCTGTTAAAAGACAATGGCGGAGATAAATAGTAAGACAATGACAAAAAAAAAACAAGGTATTGTAATCAGCAGCAGCAGCACACGGTGACAGGACGCGCACGCGAAGTCGTAAGCACCAAGCCAACAATTCTTGACTTGGGGCATTTTTTTTTTTTTCTCTTGACTTGGGGCATGCGAACCTGACAATGGCGATATGATTAAGGCTGCCGTGTCGTGATCGACGAACGAAAAGGTGGATGCACTGCAAGCAATAGACACCAAACCTCATCTTAAAAAAAAGGCACAAGTCGACCGTGGTTGCAAACCACCTGAATCCCATGCACGCGAGTGCGTGTACCGTTTTCTATGTGTCTGTGCGTGTGTATGTCGTCCCCGGCTTCCTCTCTTCCTCTTCCCGCCCATTAACCACCACTTCGGTCGCCTTTGTTGTCGCATTTCGTGATGTTGTTATTTCTTCTATCGCCGCCCTGTTCTTTCTACCCCCCGCCCCCCCCATGGAATAGAGGGGAGAAGACGGTAGCTGTACTGGGGAGTAGGAAGTGGTTTGAAAAGGCGGGAAGGCATATCGCTAGGATAGATAGACTAGGGAAGACATTTTTGAGCCACCTTTGGCAAAGTAGGAAGGAGCGATTGGTCATCGGTGATCGGTCCTGTGGGAACAGTGCTCCGTCCTCTCGAGGACGCGTGGCCACTGGTCTAACCGCTAACGCATGCAAAACATAAGAGTACGCCCCCCCCCCCCCCCCCCCCCCCCTCTTTCCCCCCTTTAATTTTGTTTACCCCCCTTTATTTCAAAAACTTCCCCCCCCCTTTTTTCTTTTTTTTTTCCTCTTTACTATTCCCTCTTTTATATTTTACAACCCCAACCCCCTCCTTTTTTTAACCAAAAAACCCTTTTTTTTTCTCAC